GATCCGGCAGCGCGCGCTGGCGCCACGGATGTGAAAAGGTCGAGCTGGGCGCCGGAAAACCGACCTGGCTCTGCCTGCCAGCGTGATCGCTGGGGTCGATGCTATGCACCTTTGTTCTCGGCGAATGAGAGCAACTCCGAAGGGTATCCTCTGATCCGAGCCGCTGCGGCCGGAAAGCATCGCAGCATGAACAAACTGTCATCAGGAGGATGGATGAAGGAGGGAGCCCGTCATTAGAGGGGAGGAGCGAGGAGGGACAGGGAGAGGGGAGGAATGAAGGAGGAGCAAGGGAAGAGGGAATAGAAGGTAGCTGGGAGGTGGATGATGGATAAAATTGGAAAAGGGAAAGGTAAGGCGGAGGAGTGAGTTGATCCACGCAGAGAAGATCGACTCAACCTGGCGGACTTGCCTCGAAGATGCTCGCAACCGTCTCCCCAGCCAGAACACCGCCGAAGCGCCGGTCCCCCGGCAAGACAGCGTCGACCCGCGCGGCACCGCGACCGAACCTGCCGCTACGATGCTCTGTCAGCAACTGCTCGTAGATGTCCGAAAGGCGAGTGGCAAGTCCTGCTACAATTCGGCATCGCTCCTCCCCGCGGAGGGTCGTGAAGCGTACCGACTCGCCGTCGAACGAGGCCTGCAGGAGTAGCGTCGGCATCAGATGATCTACGTAAGATAGGCCAGCGACCAGCGCCGGGAGGTCGCACTGGCGCTGCTGGCAATTGCCACAGGCAACGGCAACGCCATCGCTCCTGAGCAGCACTGTGTGCTCACCTCCAGCGACGATCTGCACGTAGGTCAGGCCGGCGATCAGCGATGGAAGGTCGCACTGGCCATGATGATTCTTGCCACACGCGACGGCCGTACCATCGCTCCTGAGCAGGACTGTATGGACACCTCCAGCGGCGACCTGCACGTAGGTCAGGCCGGCGGCTGGCGCCGGAAGGTCGCACTGGCGCTGATGATTCAAGCCACACGCCACGGCCGTGCCATCACTCCTGAGCAGGACTGTGTGGACACCTCCAGCGGAGACCTGAACGTAGGTTAGGCCCGTGACCATTGGTGGGAGGTCGCACTGGCGCTGGTGATTCTTGCCACAGGCCACAACCGTACCGTCGCTCCTGAGAAGGAGTGTATGGCCACCCCCAGCGGAGACCTGCACGTATGTCAGACCCGTAACCAGCGCTGGAAGGTCGCACTGGCGATCTGAATTGTCGCCGCAGGCCACGGCCGTGCCATCGCTCCTGAGCAGGACTGTATGACCACCCCCAGCGGCCACCTGCTCGTAGCTCAGGCCAGCGACCACAGGCGGAACGTCGCACTGGCGATGCTCGTTGTTGCCACAGGTTACAACTGTGCCGTCGCTCCTAAGCAGCACTGTATGCTCACCTCCAGCGGCGACTTGCAAATATATCAGGCCCGCGACCAGCGTCGGAAGGTCGCACTGGCCAAAACTATTGCAGCCGCAGGCCACGGCTGTGCCATCGCTCCTGAGCAGAGCTGTGTGGCAACCCATGACAACGCCCATCTGCCCTGCCAGAGCCTGCCGTGGAAAGGCTCGGAAAGGGGCTCGGCTCGGCTCGAGCCAGGAGCGGCCGCGGCATGCTGGCCAGAAACCCCAGGACGCGAAGGCGACGAGCTGGGGACGGGTCGGGGTGGACGAAAAAAGCGGCTACAACAGGGGTAAATGGCGAATGAGGTGCATGTAGCTGGTTTTCCTGGCGCAGCCCAGCACCGGAAGAGATCCAGCGTTTCGAGAAATACGCTGAGCGTCTTCCTCCTGACCCTCTTTTTCCTCCTCCTCCTCCTCCTCCTCCTCCTCCTCCTCCTGCTCCTCCTCCTCCTGCTCCTCCTCCTCCCCCTCCTCATCCACGGGGGCTCTTTTGGGTTGCCCTGACGTGAATAGTCCTCCTCCTCCTCCTCCTTCTCCTCCTCCTGCTCCTCCTCCTCCTCCCCTCCTCTTTTTTACACTAGGCCAAAATGAGCCTAGGGGCTGTTGAGCTCGCGAGAAAAACATGGGCGCATGTCCAAGCCGACTTGAGGTACAGGCACAGTCAGGTCACCTGACAAACGCCGCAGCAGCTGAAATGAAAGAGCGCGGTGAAGAAGATGAAAATGCGCAAGCGCCTGCCAGGTGGTGGAGCCCAGCTATCCTGACCGTAGTATACCACCGATCTCGTCCAACAAAGTACCTCGCCCAACTAACTACCCCTCAATGCCTAATGAGGAGTAGCCGGGTAAGTGCAAGGCTGCGCAGTTAGCGTAAGAGGCCAACAAGAAAGGTAGCGTGTGCCGCGTATCCCTGCTGCGATAGAAACAGTGATGACAGGCTTAGATGGCAAGCTGCTGCTGTAAACAATTCTGCAGGCTGAGCTGTAGCCGTCAAATGTTGTCTTTCCTGCCCCGTGGCTCAGGTGCTCCCAAAGGTACGACCCCGCTGTGCCCGCAACCACCACCAGTACGTAAGTAGCTCCACCCCCGCGGAGTATAATTGCAGGCTGGCAGTCAAGTGTGACGGGTGGGGGCAGATGCCAGCAGAGGTATGAAAGAATGCAGCGTAGGCGACAGTGGGAGAAGAGGGGAACGGACGATGGGGGGGGAGAGTGTGCAACGTGGTCCATCTGTGATAGATACAGGGATGTCAGGCTTGGATGCTGGTGCTGCTGTAATATCAACTGCAATGAATTGTTGGGTCTTCCCCGCCCTGTGGCTCAGGTGCCCCCAAAAGTATGAGTCCTCCTCCTCCGCGCCGTTATACCGCCACCTCAGTGAGCCCGCCCCCCCTCGATGTATGTATATATATATATAGATATATATATATATATATGTATATGTGTTCAGGCTCGTAGCAAACTGTGACAAGTGAAGACAGGTGCAGGCGACGGTGTAAAAAAAAACAGCTGCGTCGGCGACAGTGGGAGGAAGAGCTAAGAGGCCATCAGGAAAGGCAAAGTGTTCAGCATTTCCCATCTGTGGTAGATAGAGCACGCGCGTGCTGAAGAGTGGACGTACGCAAACATGCAAAAGGCTGGCCTGATAGGCTGGCCTGTAGGCTGAGTGAGGCTAGTGCGCTGAAAATGACTTGGTAGAAGAGCGTAAAGTGTCATGCTGCGCTGGAGGGGTAACGTAAGCAAAACTATACTTGGTGATGAAATGGTGGAGGTAACGAGCGAAACGGCAAGCAGCAACGACGAGGAAGAAGTGAAGGGAGAGGAAGTGCTCATGCGTAATCGCGTGGGCAGGTCCGGCGATCTGGGCCTTGAAAGGAGTAGGGAAGATGGGGCAAGCGGAACAACGATGACGACAACAGGAGTACCTCTGGTAAGTTAGGCGGCATCAAATACAAGGAGGGAGGAGAGGATGTCAGTCATTAGTATCTTGCGGTAATCGAAGTCGTCGCAGTGGCTGTCGTGAAGGTCGTGGTATGCCCAATTATTTGATATGTACTGCAATATTCATGTTCGTGCGGGTGAGAACGCAGTGAGTGAACCAACTTAGTATCCCATGTATCGATTCTCACGTATTGGTACCATTGTTACTTGTGTGGGCCTGGTGGCGCCTTGAAGACCAGTGGCGTATGTACTGGACGTGGTGGGTGCTCGTGCGGTATGCCGTGGCGTAGGTTGCGGAGATGAACTTATGTAAGGTATTGTTGGAACTGAGCTTGATGTAGTCGTACTATGGCGATGTATTCGAGAAAGCGTGGGTCGCCGATATCGTGGAGGAAGGTGCGACCGAGGTGGTTGATGTCGACCCTGGGGGGTGGCGTCCTTATGGTGTTGGCTAGTGTGCTTGGTGGTGCTCTGGTCGGAAAGTAAGCTTGCCTGGCGGCGTATAGTTTTGGGTGCTAACTCTCTGGTGAACCGCTTGGAGCCACATGTGTGCCTTGGCGTCATCAGGTGGTTCATGCTCCTCCTCCTCCTCCTCCTCCTCCTCCTCCTCCTCCGCCTCCTCCTCCTCCTCCTCCTCCGCCTCCGCCTCCTCCTCCTCCTCCTCCTTCACAATTACACAATATGAAAATACTCTCCCACTTCCCCTGATGGCGTCCCGAAGATATCCGCCCCCCCCGCGTACTGTTTAATTACACACAGGATTCCCGGGAAACGGGTTTTCGCCTGCGTTTTTTTTCCAAAATGCTGCTCTCGCTGAGGCGCCGGCTTCATTTCTGCTCCCGAATCGTTCCGAATCGTGCTCCCGCTGCAGCGTGGGCCTCATTTTCGGATCGGTGTTTGGCCTCCGTCGTTCAGGATGGCGTTCTCGCCCCAGCGCGGGCCTCTTTCTCGCGCGCCCATCCGCCCGCCACCACCGCGCCGCACCACCACCACCACCACCACCACCACCACCACCACCACCACCACCACCACCACCACCACCACCACCACCACCACCACCACCACCACACCACACGACAACCACGCACACACGCCGCACGCACGCACGCACGCGCACCACCACCCACTACGCACGCGCGCGCGGAGCCACAGGTCCGCTACGACACGCGTCCGCGGATAGAGAAAATCAGCGCCATGGTAAGGGATGGGAGGGAGGGGTAGGACGTCAGATATGACGCGAGCGCACCTAGCTTGCCTCCCCCCTCCTCCTCCCTCCTTCCCTCTCCTCCCTCCCGCCCTCCCTCCCTCCCTCCCGCCCTCCCTCCCTCCCTCACTCCCTCATCCACCGCGCTCCCTCCCAGACATCCATCCCCCCTTCCTTCCTCCCTCCCTCCCTGCCGTCCTCCCTCCTTGAAGGGGAAATGGGACACACCAGTAAATAGACACAAATAACCAGATTCCCCAAATTTTCTCATGTTTGCTGGATGTTTGTCTTCCCCCCCACTTCCCATACTGTGTGGTTTCTCCTCCTGAATTAATTGTGTCTGTGTGTTTTTTTTCCTCCTGAGAACCCTTCCGTGCCTCCCTTCCCTCCCATACCCCCCCCCCACTCCCGCCACTTCGACTGCATCCCTGCTGCGTCTGCCTGGGAACCCGCCGCGCCCGGTCCTCCGTGAGGGGTGCCGTGGCGCCCGAGGCGCCGCCCCTCGCGAGGAGCGTGGGCACCGTCTCCTCTGCCGGCTGCTCGGCGGAGGACAGGTCCTTCGGGGAGCTGAACAGGGTGGGCGGGAGCTAGATCGGGAGCCCTCGCGCACAGAGAGGAAGGAGGAGGAGGAGGAGGAGAAGGAGCAGGAGGAGGAGAAGGAGGGGAGGAAGAGGAGGATGACCCGCAAGAGGGGGAGGGCAGAGGGGGAAAAGAGGGACGATGATGATGATGATGATGATGATGATGATGATGATGATGACGATGATGATGATGATGATGAAGAGGAGGATGAGAAGGAGGAGGAGGAGGAGGAGGAGGAGGAAAAGAAGGAGGAGGAGGAGGAAAAGAAGGAGGAGGAGGAGGAGGAGGAGGAGAAAGAGAAGAAGGAGCAGCTGGAGATTGTGTGTGTCATGTCAAATAACGGTCAATGACCACAGAAGGGGGTTGGGGCCCCAGGGAGCGGTAGCAAGCACGCCAGGAGACAGTAATGGGCGAGCAACGACATATGTACATGTACGCCCTCCGCGTTCTTACCTGCACGAACGTCCGCGTTGACACGCACTCCAGGGGAAGCTAACCGCGTACGTGTACATATGTTGCTGGCCTCTGAAGTAACGCGCCGGCGCCATGGGCGCCTGGCCGATGGTCGACAGATGGATACAGCCAGGGTGGAGCAGCTGCTGTGCGCTGTGCGAAGTGCGCCCTGCACGACCATCCGCTGTGCTCCGAAGCCCTGGCGGCCACCGAAGGAGGAGGCCCGGAAGGCTGCGGGCCTTCTGAGCGGGAAAACGCCTCAGAAGGCGAGGAGGAGGAGGAGGAGGAGGAGGAGGAGGAGGAGGAGGAGGAGGAGGAGGAGGGGGAGGAGGAGGAGGAGGGGGAGGAGGAGGAGGAGGAGGAGGAGGAGGAGGAGGAGGAGGAGGAGGAGGAGGCGCGCTATGGCAAAGTGTCTCCGCGCACGAGCGGCACGCGCGGGGTTCCGTGGGGGGGCGGCGCGGGACGGGCTCGGCAGGCGGAGCAGCCCGAGCCCTCCCTGGAGCGAGGAGGGGCCGGAGAGGAAGGAGAGAGGAGGAAGGGGGAGGAGGAAAGGAGGAAGGGGGAGGAGAGAGGAGGAAGGAGAGAGGAGGAAGGAGAGAGGAGGAAGGAGAGGAGGAAGGGGGAGGAAGGGGGAGGGCCAGGGGTGAGAGGGGAAGAGGGAGGAGGAAAGGATGAAAGGGGTGAGACTGTCTGGCACCCAACCCCAACCACGCCCCACACGCGCACAAGCGGGTCCCTGAGCTCGTCCAGCAGCGCGGGCAGGGGGAACTCCAGGGCGGGGATGAGAAGGCCGCCGCGGCGCAGCCTCGTCCACGTCGCGTGCGAAGCCGATGAGATTACCTCGCCTTGACAGTTCTCTTGGAGCGAGCGCCCAGCCGAGTGCCCTTGAAGCCACAGCTCTGCGAGCTGGAGCTGAACTCGTTTTAACCGAGTGGCAGCAACGCTGGGCCCATCCCCGCTGCAAGGAAAATCGTCAGCGTGGGAACCATCGACATCAGCCACCTGCTCGTCCAGGGGCACGTCGGCCTGCACCTTTACGACCAGGGCGTCCGACGCCGTGTTGAAGCGCTCGTGCTCGGTGAACTGGCAATTATCCTCGCAAACGCTGGATGGGGAAACGGAAGAGTTCAACTCGACCTCGTTCATCGGCTCCATGACTTGCAGCACTCGGGAATACCGCTGCAAGCCATGCAACAGTCCGTCGTAAACGGACGGTCGCCAGAAAGACGATCTCCAGCCACAAGGGGGCGGAGGGCAGGTCTTGCAATGTCCCCGCGTCGGGCGACCTCGTCAGCGGGGCCATGCTGAAGAGAGCGCAGCCTATCCACCTCGTTGCGGAGCACGTCGATCTGGCCACGGAATTTCTTCACCAGGTTTCTGCGAGGGCCCGCGCTGCCGGTGCGCCTCGAAGAGGCGAATCCCGTCACGTCATGCACAAGCGGAACACCTCCCACGACACCGGACCAGGCGCATCATGCCGTGCCAGCTCGAGCCAAGGGGGGTACGCCTGCTGATGGGCGGCTTGAGCCAAAATGGCTACGGATAAGCATGGGAAAGAAGGGGGAAGAGGGAGGGTAGGGGACGGAGGGGGGAGGAGGGAGGGATGAGGAGGGAGAAGAATGAGGAGGGGGAGGGAGGGAGAAGGAGGGGAGGGGAGGGCGAGGGGGCAGGGGCAGGGGGGCAGAGAGGGGAGCAGGGAGGAGGGAGGAGGAGGGAGGACGGCGGAGGAGCAGAGGGAGAGGATGCAGAGCCAGGCCCCGCCGCTGCCCTCCAATGTCGGGTTCCCGCGCTGCTCCTCCCCCCATCGCCCCCCATCGGGCAGTCCATGGCCAGAGACGGCACCTCGCCGACGTGGTCCTGCGGTGAGCCAAAGGATAAGACCACGACGAGGGAGGGTGCAGTGCTGCTCCGCGCCGCTGCGACGACCAGGCTGATCGAGGGGTCCGCGATGAGGCAGGAGCAGGAGGCAAGACGGCCGAGGCAGCACGAGAACGATCGGAAATCAGATCAGGCGCCTCCACGCAGAGCGATCCGTCGGACGCGACGCTTGAAGGGGCCCCAGGACACACAAATAAATACACACAAATAAAAAGATTCTCCATATTTTCCTATATCTTCTGGGTTTCTGTCTTCCCCCCCACATCCCACATGTTCGCATATCTTCCTGGGGATGGACGATTAATTGTGTCTGTGTGTTGTTTCCCCTCCTGAATGCTGTCCTTCATTCCCACCCAAGCCTCGGCCCCTCGCCCAGAGGCACAGTCAACATGTACCAGAGGTGACCTTGCAGAGGGAACGATGCCGCTCTGGGGCCATAGTTGCGCCCCGACGTACGAGGAGTGCTAGAGGCTAGGGGATAACCCATATTCCCCAGTGCGACCCTACCTAGAAGTTGGAGCCCCTAGGAAAGCAGCATTAGTTGCTATGCTACGCTATGCTATGCTATGCCATGGTATGCTGCGCTATGCTATGCTATGCTATGCTATGCTATGCTATGCTATGCTATGATTTGCTGCGCTATGCTATGATATGTTACTAGAACCACGCGCGCGCTTCGCGCGCTTAGGTTCTGTCGAGTCACAGACCCAGGGGCTCTCTTGGGCCGCCTTTGGAGCCTCTTGGGGCGTCCTGGGTCTCTCGTGGGGGCTTCTCTTGGCGCCTCCTGGAGCCTCTTGGGACCGAAAGCTCGGAATTCTACAGTGGCTTTCTCCCTCTGGGACCCCTCTCGGGCACGCCTTGGAGCTCTCTTAGGCCATTTTGGAGTCCAATTTTGCCGTCCTGGGCGCCTCGTGAACCGTCTTGGAACTCTCTTGGGGGCCACCTAGGCCGTCTTGGGAGCCTCTTCGGACGTGCTGGACGCGGTGAAAACCCAACAGGCGACCATGCGAAAAGTATACGTTTTCCCATGGGAATGGGACCATTTTTGCTTCTTGGACCTCTCTTGGGGTGCCTCTCGGAACGTCTTGGGCTGATTTTGGAAGCCTTTTGGCGCCTCTGGGCGGCGTTTTGGCGCCTCCTGGGATATGTTGGGCCGGAAGCTCGGAATTCGAGAGTGGCTTTCTCCTTCTGGGACCCCTCTCGAAGTCGTCTTGGGGTTCTCTTGGGCCGTCTTGGGGCCGTCCTGAGCCACTCGCGCGCAGCCTTGGAGCGCTCCCGGAGGCCTCCTAGGCCGTCTTGGAGGCCTCTTGGGCCGTCTTGGACGCGGTGAAAGCCCAAGATGCGAACATGCGAAAAATATACGTTTTCCCATAGGAATGGCACGATGTTTGTTTCTTGGACCTCTCTTGGGGTGCCTCTCGGAACGTCTTGGGGTGCTTTTGGGAGCCTTTTGGCGCCTCTTGGCGGCATTTTGGCGCCTCCTGGAGCCTCTTGGGCCGGAAGCTCGGAATTCGAGGTTGGCTTTCTCCGTCTGGGACCCCTCTCGAACTCGTCTTGGGGCTCTCTTGGGCCGTCTTGGGGCCGTCCTGGGCCACTCGTGCGCAGCCTTGGAGCGCTCCCGGAGGCCTCGTAGACCGTCTTGGGCGCCTCTTGGGCCGTCTTGGACGCGGTGAAAGCCCAAGAGGCGAACATGCGAAAAATATACGTTTTCCCATAGGAATGGCACGATTTTTGCTTCTTGGGCCTCTCTTGGGCTGCCTCTCGGAGCGTCTTGGAGGCTTCTGGGACCTTCTTGGTGTCATGACAGGCGTCTTGGAAGGCATCTGGAGCCATCGGAGCGCGTTCCGAAGCCGCCTGCGAACGATCTTGGACGGCGTCCGGCGGTCCGACGAGCCTCCGGGCCCCCCGGGGCCCACATTTGTGGTCGAGGTCCCGGCCCCGGGCCCCCGGACCCGGTGCGCCGTTATATGTATATGGTATGATATGATGTGTTAAGCTATGCCATGTCATGTTGCGCTGTGCTATGCTAAGCTATGATATGATATGAAATGATGTGCTAAGCTGCGCTATGCTATGCTATGCTATGATATGCTATGCTATGCTATGATATGCTATGCTATGCTATGCTATGATATGCTGCGCTATATGCTGCGCTATGCTATGCTACGCTGTGCTATGCTATGCTGTGATATGTTGTGCTAAAGCTCAGCGAAGCTAAGATGAAGGTAAGCTAAGCTAATATAAACATGAGCTAAGATGAAGCTAAGCTAAGCTAAGATGAAATCAGCTAAGCTAAGATGAGATAAGCGACGCTAAGCTAAGGGGACGTAACTGGGGGAAACCGCGGGGCGGACACTGGGGGAACCGCCCGGGGCGCTTTACACTGCCCGGCCCCTTTAAGCCCAGAGAGTAAGAACCCTTCTAGGCAGAGCCCAGGTAGGGAATAAGCGAATAAGCACAGGAGGAACATCGAGCCCCTTTCGAAATCAAGGTGGGCCCTGTCTCAAAGCGTTGACAATACACCCGTCCCTGCCCCCGTCTCCACCCCCATACGCTGCCTCCACGTCTACCCCCAGTCCCCACCCCCCGCGCGAGCAGAGGAGCGAAAGCAACCAGCCTCCCATGTGGGCACTCACATTGCACCTCTCCCCCATCTCACCGCGGCGGCGCAGAATGAGGCGTAGAAGAAAGCGAGAGGGGAAGCTGAGGGGAGGAGAGGGGAGACAAGGAGAGAGTAGGCAGCGGAGGCGAGGGAAGGAGAGGGACGGACGAGGCAGACGACGAGAGAGGGAGAGAGGAAGGGAGGGAGGGAGGGAGGAAGGAGAGAGAGAGAGAGAGAGCGATGGAGAAAGAAAGAAATAGCCGCGCAGGCATGGCGGGAATGCCTTCAACACAAACAAAATCATTGGTTGTTTGTTGGTCGGTCGTGGGGATACGTATCCCGACCCAAGAATCGTAATAATCACATGTCGGGATGCAGGAGCACCAGTCACATGCGTAACACAATGCGAACGATGGTATCCACCATACTAAAGGGAAAATGTACAACAAATGGTACTTAGCCAAGAACGCAACTCTCCGTCAAGGCAGCTGCACGAAATGAGATACATTCCAAAGACGTGGCTGACACGGTTACGTCGCTAATATTTCTCTAGATCGTGGAACCTCCACTTAATCCGCGATGCAAATGCGATCGCAACTGCACTCTTAAGGCAAAAGCGGAAGTCGCACCGAACACATGCCTGCGAGAGGGAAAGGCAAGTTGGGCCCAGGGAAAGACGGGGAAGAGAAAAAGGAGCAGGAGGAGGGAGGAGGGAAGGACAGAAAAACGACAGGGAGGGCGAGGATCACGACAACGACGACGACGACGACGACGACGCAAAGGGCGTTTCTGACCGAGCGAAGACCAGGAGATAAGAAGACGAGGAAGGAGGAACGAGGATGGGAATAGGGGAAGGCAGGACGAGGAGGGATGAGGGACGGAGGCAGAGGGTTGGAGAGGGAGGCTGCCGAGGAGGGGAGCGAACGCGCGCATCCACTGAACCACGGCCACCAAAGGGGACTGCTCCTTGGACTGCCCCTGCTGTGAAAGGCCCCGGTGGGCTGCGACCGCCCCACCGCGAGCGCCAACACCCCGAAAGGCCTATGGGCCAACGGCGTCGGGGGCGACGGGCCAATCGGGCCAGGCGAAAGGGGGATAGCAAATGGGGGGGGGGGAGAATCAGCTCACGTTGCTGATTTTCCCGGCGCCTCCCGGCGCCGGGAGGCGCCCATGTATCGAGGACTGGGCCCCTCGGTGGAGGCGAAACCAGCTGCACGCAGCAGATTTCGTACCCCCCCCTTTCCCGATCCCCCCCCTTTCGTCCCGCCCGAGCCAACGCCCCTTTAAAGGGGCCCAGGACACACAAATAAATACACACAAATAAAAAGATTCCCCATATTTTCCAATATTTTCTTGGCTTTTGTCTTCCCCACCACTTCCCATATTTTCCTATATTTTCTGGGGGATCGACGATTAATTGTGTCTGTGTGTTTTTGTCCCTCCTGACCCTTGGCGGAGACGCCTGCTCGCGCGGCCGTGCCTCCCAGCCGCCCGCCGGGCCAGCCCCGGCCGGCGCCCAGGGCGGGGCACGGACGGCGCTGCACTCCGCCCAGGGCCTCCCTCCCCCTCCCTCCCCTCCCTCCCTCCCTCCCTCCCCCCCCCCCTCCCCCCTCCCTCCCTCCCTCCCTCCCTCCCTCCCCTCCTCCCTCCCTCCCCTCCCTCCCTCGACGCTGGGCGCTGGGCGTGGGCGGGCCCCGCAGACGCGCGCCCTCGCGCGGCCGACCCCCGGTGGCGGGACAGGGCGCACGAGCGATCGGGTGAGCGCTCCGCGAGGGACAGGGATCTGCGCATGCTGGCCAAGTCCCACCAGCCCTTTGGGCGTGAGTGGTTTAGAGAGCCCGCTCTGTTCTCAACCCCCCTTCTTCCCCTTCGGGGAGGGGTTTACCCCTCCCCCTACCCCCTCCCCCTGGACCTGGAGAGGGCGGGCCGAGCGTGGTCAGGGGGGTCTTTTTTGACTCCTGGAAGGGCCAAAAAACGACGACCCTCACGAGGATTCTGGCCCCGACCGGGGGAACCACTTTGGCCCCTCTGCTCTTCTTTGAAGCCAAAATCATTGATTTTACTACGGTTTTGGCCTCATTTGGGCGCTCTGAGGGGGCCGCGCTCATCGTCCTTCATAGCAGAATCATTGCTTTTACAAAGGTTTTGGGCTCATGTTGTTCTTTTCAGGGGGCAGCTCTCATTGGCGCTTCCGAGGAGGTCGCAAGAGGCTCCAAGATGGCCACAAGAGGCCCCCAGGAGCCTCCCAAGAGGCCTCCAAGAGGCCCCCAAGAGGCCCCCAAGAGGCCCCAAGAGGCCCCCAAGAGGCCCCCAAGAGGCCCTCAAGAGGCCCCCAGAGGCCCCACGAGGCCCCCACGAGGCCCCCAAGAGGCCCCCA